GCTGCTGTTATTAAACATACCAAGTTGTCACTTGTGTTATTCATTCTATTATAGGTTTGCTTGTTTGTATTTGAGGTACATTAACCAGCTGAAGTCGAACCACCCAGATGTCGGGATGAGAATTCTAATGCCATGCACTTTTTACCGGTAGCATCATTACCATACGCGTACAGTAGCTAACCATCGAACATTTTTTTCTTTTATTGCAATGTACGACAAACTCATAGCCAGAAGTCTGAAAGGGGTGCCTGTTTGGGGCATTGATAGAAAGGCAGTGGATATTTGACCATGAACAGTTGTACTAGGCCTAGCTTTCATTTTTTTATTGGCATGGCATCTGAACAAGCTCAAGTGTTTTTGAGTTGGGGTTAACTTAGGCCTACTTAGAAATTTTATCACGACAAATTTTCATCTGATTCCATCCAGTCTAGGCTTAGGCCTTCCGTACTTACATGTAATTGTCAGTTTGAGTTTGTAACCATAACTGTTGGTGCAGTGGGGACTTTTTTCTCTTCTGAGCCACAGGGCTGTAAATCTACAGTTTCTGATGGTGAACAGCATTATTAACGTTGGAGCATGTTTATTTTTGTTACAAATGGATTGCAGATGTAGATCTAGTGTAGATTATATTGTATGCATTGTAGATGTATACACACACTGTACGTGTACTTTTGTACTTGTACATGTTCACTGTAGATGTAAATGGAAGCTAGTTATCAACTGATAAAAAAAAACCACACAACTCAAAATAGACATTATCGTGGCTTCCATGTAATTCACATTGAATTGATTGATTCACCTTTCCACAATACTAACACATGCAAATGCAAACAAATGTGGAACACAGAAGAAAAACCAATCATTGGGAAAAGCAGGGATAACGCATAAAAGTTCAGAAAAATGTATTTCCATTACAGTCCCAAACAATCACTGCTAACTTCGTAACAACAAGCGTGTGACAGTTCGATAAGGACAGCGTGGAAAGTGTCTTTATAGTTTAAAAGGCCATTTATGCATATTACATGTAAGCGATAAAAGAAATAACAATTCATGTTCCAAAAAACAGTTTAAAAAACAGTTTAAATTTTGGGAATGTATAAAATTGCATCAATGTTATGAGCCCCAATCTGGACCAAGAGAGGCCACAATTTTTCTAGCAACATACCAGTAGGCTCCGTTGGTGTATCCGTGTGTATCTGAATAAGTGCTGCACAATACAGGGCACCATCATGAAAGATACACACTGTAAGGTACTAGGACACATGTACATGTATGTACAGTGTACTTTACCCGAATCGTGTACATTTACATGTATAAATTTTCATACTGACCCTACATGTACATGCACTTTGTACATGTACATGTCGCTGACTACATGTTCATCATGCATGTGTAGCTTTGTAGATGTGTATCTTATTGATTGCTCTTATCTCTCAGTATAAAGTGTCCCTACTAAATGCTCCAGATGGTTATCTGAATGACATTTTTGCGTGTACAAAAAATCGTATATGAACACAGCTCACTGTACCAGTGGGTTGCTGTGCATGCATTATGCACGTCTGAAAGTGCATTGGAGTAACAAAAATTGTCCAAAATGACATGTGCTTTGATTTGAATGAGGTTACACGTTCAGATGTAAATGGATGTTAACTACATGTTTTAGGCAGAAATGCTGTTTTTAGAGAGTGATTTCTTTTCTAAATGTATTTAGATCAAAAGAGTGATTGAGGTACACGTGTACAGTACATGTACATGTGGTATGTACATGTACATGGAAACTTTTCAAATAATATACCGGTATAATACTAAGAAAATGTATCGTGCACTTGGATGTTACAGTATACTGGAACGTGCTGAGACGAAAAACTTAGAGAATCATTTTGTGAAAGAAAATGGATATTTCCTGGGGGGAGGGGACACAGTGAAGTTACAGTACGTGCAAATTTTGTTGACATGTAAATTTGAAAATTTGGCTTTTTGAGTGGAATTCGGCCAGTGTAAATTACAAATACTTCTGCCGTTTACATGCAGGTAATTTTTCTGTCAAATTTCTGCCGTATTGTGTGTGAAGAAATCACGGCCTTTAAAAATGGTATTTTGCTTGTTTTTCTGGTATCTTCAAATGTGTCCTCCCGGTTTACCTTCAGTGTGTCTGCAGGTGTTCTTGAAAGTGACATGATGATAGTGAGTGGGTGGTGATAAGGTCACTGCCAACACCCCCAATTGACAGAAGGGGTGACAGCGTGCCACATTCACCTGTCCTGTCCCAACATTTCTTTCTTTTTGTTTTGAAATTGATGTGTGATTTTCGTCATCAAGATGGTGTTGTAAATTCCCTTAAGGCAGATCACACAGCAGACAGCCCAACTGTCATTATCAGCCTTTTTTTTTATTGAATTTGTCTGTTCATTTGATCAACATTATGGACCAAAAGAGAAGGACTTGTGATTTTAGGGGGAGAGAGGCTAGACCAGTTAGCATTTTACACTCAAAAGGCTATTGTTTCAGGAAGCTTACCATGAAAGTTTGCATATATGCACAGTATTCTTTGTTATTTGTTCTAGCTGAAGTTGGATGAGAACTTATGGAAATTTTAGTCAGATACTTGTACATGTACGTACATGTACATGTACTCTACCTAGAGGCACCGTTTGGATATTAAGATAATTTGTAATCTGTTGTGGTCAGGTACAGGAACCATACTTGTATAAGAACATGTACACTGCTGTATGGCTCTACATGTACCTGTACATGTATAATTCCAGAAATTAGGGGTCCAAAAGTGTGACATTTTTGTGCCCCTGTTACATCCAACCTTTGTTAGTTGACTCGGAAATATCACCGAAATTGATTGTAGACTATTACTATTTGTTTGGCCAGTAATTTACATTAATTCATCACTCTCGGAAATAAGAAAATGTGCTCTCTGAACTTACAAAATCATATGTCGGATGTTACAGAGACACAAAAAAAAGACCCCTTATTTCTGGAATTATCCACATAACATGTATGTTCTAGTACCTGTGTATTGAGAAAAACAATATTTAGAACTGAATTCCATGATGAAAGGTTCCAGCACTCATACGGTCTGTGTATTGCAAGGAGCCTTGACAAGTCATAATTACAGTACATGTACATCTACAATGTATGTACACTGTACCTGCTATGCCATTATTTACACTTTCCATTTGGGGTTTACATGTACTACTAATTGCAATTAGTTGCTAACCCCTCTTTCAAAATGGGGAGAACTTTGTAGGCCTTGGGTTTGGACATAAATCATGTCCTGTGACTCCTGTATACATGTACATAGATTGTTTGCTGGTGAGGCATTTTGTGGAGATTTATATCTTTTGTGTGCTGTGTGCATGAACAGGTATGTGGCAGTGTTAAAGTTGACGCTAGAAAGTCTGAGACTGAAAAACCAAGACCTTGAGACCGAGATAATGCTCATGTACAATGAATGGCCTGAGACGGAGATTGAGACTTGTCTGAAGACTTACTGTATGTAACACTAATGTGCATGGCCTCTCCAAGTTCTTTGACTTCAAATCGTCTTTTTGTTTGTTGTCTTCAGGTAATGCTGATTGGGGATTCAGGCGTGGGCAAGACATGTCTGCTAGTGCGCTTCAAAGATGGTGCCTTCCTCTCGGGAAGTTTCATCTCCACAGTTGGGATTGACTTTAGGGTAAGGGACGAATCAATTTTGGAAGGGGGAGGGTTGCTTGTATTGTTCTCTGCACGTGGCTATTGTTTTTCTCTGTTTGCCCGATTGTCAGTTTGCCTGTGCATTTTGGTACAGGTAAACTTTCGTGACGTGAGAGAGTGTTTTTCACTCAGCTGTGCCTTGTGGAAAATAATACATTCAATCCATCTCCTCATTAAGTTATTCATCCCATTGCACAAACATTCATCATTTGCAAAATGGTGGTTGATGAATGGACACACTGAGAAAACATGAAAATGACAGTTTTGAGCTCTTCTGTGCCTGAAATCTCAACATGAGAAGGACGGTATGAGCTCCTCTGCCTGAATTCTCAACATGAGAATGAGGGTATGAGCTCCTCTGTGCCTGAAATCTCGACATGAGAACGACGGTATTGAGCTCCTCTGCCTGAAATCTCAACATGAGAACGACGATATGAGCTCCTCTGTGCCTGAAATCTCAACATGAGAATGACGATATGACCTCCTCTGTGCCTGAAATCTCGACATGAGAACAACGGTATTGAGCTCTTCTGTACCTGAAGTCAGTCCAGTTTCTCTCTGCACAGTGAATGTCATTATTAGACCTTTTACCTTGTCCTGGAATCTATATATTCAATGTACATGCAATCTGGTAATGATGCCAGACAATTTTTGATTCTAAATCTGACTTAAAGGGTTTTTTGGGGGGATGTGGCCTAAAACATTTACATGTGTATACATGTACTTTATCATCGATTTAAAATTCTTCAAAATGTGGAGCTGGAATTCATATATAATGAACTTTTTTCGTTGCTGTTATTTTTAGTCTCACGTTCCAGAAATGAAAAGGTGATCTCACTTTCAATTCAAGATGGGCGACATACGAATGCAGTCTATTAAGACGTTTAGTTCTGTGTGTTACAATTCTGTTGAATGTAGCTGTGTGCTAAATACCTACAGTAAAGGGAAAGTTGTGGGCCACTTTGTTTCACACGGATCTGGATCTCGATCAGTGGTCCCATCGCTGGTACGCCCAATCCATTAGGCGGGTTTTGGTGTCAGTGAACCAGTGACAGATCACTAAGTTCCCACTTTAAAGGCCTTGCCCTTCCTCTGATAGGGAAAAAGTAAACATTCCTGTATGTTTGAATCCTGCCTGAGCAAGTCTGTAGAAGTACAGTACATGTACATCTGTTGATTACCGGTGCATGTTTTTTTGGGTTTTGAGTTACGGGTAGGCAGCGTAGAGTGCATAGCACGTAGTACCGGTTGTACATGTACATGTAGGATGGTAATACGTGCATTTGTTGCATAGCGTGTCCTTGTTATTAAAAAAATTAAATTGCCCTGAGCAAATGTCACACTTGCCCTGTACCAACATGTACTTGCACCATGGCTTGACAGATGTACCAGTAGATAGACAGCTCGTTCATGCCATATACATATTCATAGCATTGCAGAAATATTTGGATAAACCTGTTTTCTTTGTGCACTGTATGCATTCGTCCAAATTTATCTTGTCAGACTGAACGGCCTCACCTAAAGTATTGAATATCCAATGTTGTGTTTCAGTTTAGCAGTCAAGCGTAACGTGCCAGGCAAGGCATGCCCTTTGAAGTGCATTCCCCTTCCTTTTTGTTAAGCCTGACCGTTCCAAATCCTGGTGCGTTTATTTCAATATGATGTACAGTTGAACACCCCTGGGGGTTTACATTGTGTTTCAAAGCACAAACCTGGAAATTGGTGATTTTGCATATAGCCAGTTCACGGAAGCAAACACGATTTGTAAATTTGTAACCTCAATGCTTGCCCAGCAAATTTGCAAAACTTTGCTGCAAATGTTTGGTGATGTCAAATTCTTTCACTTTCACTTTTGCTTGAAGTACACTTTACCGAACACTGTATCCTTCTTTAACCAATCCTACAAGCATTACTTTTTTATGCTCATGCAATGCTTTTTTTTCATGTCGTGGTATTAAAGGGAAGCCGAATGAAGTTTTCTTGGACACAATTTTTCTGCAAAGCTGTACCCTTCTTCAGTGTATGAACACTCTTTTACAAAGGTGCACTTTTTTAAACACTTAAAATTATCCACCTTTTCCTGGACAACTGAGGGCGCTGTTGCTGTGATGTCATCCAGGGAAGGCATACATGTAGTTCATTGCATCTATAGGTTTTTCTATTAAAACTGTGAAAATATTTCTGAGCAAAGCAGCGGTGCCCATTTGTTGCTATGCTGTTACATAAAGAACAATGAATTACCGGTAGCAAAGATGTGACAATTAAATTAACCCAGCAAGACCTACAAAATGGCATGACTTTTTTGTGTACAAACTAATGTACATGTAACATTTATATTTACATGTAGGCTTTCTCCCTGGGATGACATCACAGTTTTGCTCATGAATATGGACATGTACCGTATTAAAATTTAGAAAGCACACATAAATATCGAACACTGGCTGGGGCTCTTCACTACTGCCTGCCTCTTTTAAACAAAATTCAAAGCCGTAGTCGCAGGAGACGGAATCAGAACATGGCGATTCCAGTGATGTGCCACCCCATACAATTCTATGTTTTAACTATATTGACATATACCAGCAGCCCTGGGTGAAAATACCGGTACGTGAGCATCCAGAAACAGTTCTTGCAGTGTTAAGCCGTTAGTCTAGCCAGCAAGATGGAGTCATAAATTTAACGATTCTCCAACAGTAATTTTATTAGTTATGGTTATTGGCACCATGCCTATAACTCAAGTACAGTATTTACATGTAGCTGTATGCAACCCTGGGAATAAATGTAGAACCTGACAGAGTGGAATGGCATTTACATTGTGGTAAAGGTCTTGGAGATTTTACACACAGGGCATTCACAGTTGGGCCAGTCTGGATTCCGTATGTATGTGACAAAAAAATTGGAAAATCCATATAATGTACATTTGTACATGTAACCTTCCTTGGCCTCTGAAAATGGCCATATGTTTTTCCATTATGTCATTTATACTGATCTACGGACCCCATTTTAAAATCATTTTTTTGGGGGGTTTCAACGTTTCGGCTTTGGGTCAGAGGTGAAATAAAGGTCAGTTACTTGCACATGTACAAGTATGCACTCGTATGTGACATCAAGCAGGAACAGTTTTCATACCCAAAGTTACAGTATTTTCCAAAACCTCGCCCAAACTGGGGCCAGTAGATTTACATGTATACGTAGCGTACACGTGTACATATACATGTATGTATGGGCTTGGAAGTATGGAACCGGTACATGTACATGTACACGTTTGTACATGTTATAATATAATTATAATCACTGTTGGCAGAAACATTTCATTCCTTTTTTGTCCTGTACAGTATGTGGGTAATTCTTATACCTGTCACATCTGACATATGATTTTTGAAGTTCAGAACACATTTTCTAATTTCCATGAGTGATGAATTAATGCAAAATTACCTGCCAGACAAATAGTAATAGTTTGAAATCAATGCCGGTGATATCTCCATGTCAAGTGGCAAAGGTCAGATGTAACAGGGACACAAAAATGTCACATTTTTGGACTATTTCCGGTATTACCCATGTATGTGTACCTTCAGCTCTGAGACTTCACATTCAGTTTCTTAATCAGAATGGTTTGTTGTGTTCTTGGCTGTTTATTTGTGGAGAAGCTGGTTTCAAGAATGTAAGCCTTTTCCCAAACCTAATAAAAATAATGATGTTTCCTCGTTACCTGCAGCTTGCTGGTAACACTGGTTCTTCAAAATGCATCGAAACATTCTGAAAAAACTAGAAGGGTCACATCCAACATCCTCCTACCCCATCTTGAAACATGTCCAAACTGCACAAAATGCAACCTAACCTCTAAGTAAGACCCAGCTCACAATTTGCCCTGTGTGGAAGATCTCTACCCAAGCTCCCCATCAGAGAGAGTCTTCCTCAGTTTCCCCCTCCAATCTGTCCCAGCTTCTCGGTTCCATCCAAAGAGAAAAGACAGGCCGGGCAAATCATTTAGTTGCGACGACAACAATGTATTAAGGAGGTGTCGATTTCTGATTCGCTGTCGGCTGGCTGGGCAGATGACCGATGGTGGGTTGCCTGTGATTCATGAAGGTGCAAAGGCCTAGGGATTTCCGTCTTGTGGGGGGGTTCCAAGTCCAAGAGATTTTACAGGGAGGGTGGAAATGATGGGTCGGGGGGGGGGGGGAAAGAGGTTATCAAGTACCCCCATCTCAAGATTCAGAGACCTTGAGGAGAATTACTCTTGGCAAAGAACACATGGCTTCGTGAATTTCAAAGAAATGGGCCATTATTTATGCAAGATCCTTTACTTGTAGTGCAATGACTGATCCATACACTGCTGGCAATTCCTCCTGGAAGGAAACAAGGAAAATTAGTCTGAAAACTAGTACAGGGATGTTCATGTATATATGCATGTACTACACAACGGTATACATGTATGTGTATATTGATTTCTGAAATGTCTCTATCTCTTCAGAACATTGAGTCCCCCTCTGCAAACAATTCTGTGTACTTGCACCGTACAGCAAAAAAGTGAAGAGCAAAAAACCAGGACAAAGATGTGGGTATTTCCAGAGATTAGGGGTCCAAAAGTGTGACATTTTCGTGTCCCTGTTACATGTACCAGACCTTTTTTATTTGACATGGAAATATCACTGGAAAGGATTTCAAACTATTACTATTTGTTTGGCAGGTAATTTGCATTAATTCATCACTCTTGGAAATTAGAAAATGTGTTCTGAACTTAAAAAATCATATGTCAGATGTGACAGGGACACCAAAAAAAAAATGGCCCCCTAATTTCTGGAAGTCAAAAGTGACACCTTGTGCCTTTTTCCTCCTCTGCACTGCCATGTTAAATTGAATCCAGGGAAATACACGTGTACATTTTATGAGTAATTGCATAGCGCACCTAGTATCTCCTTGCACCTGTAAACACTACAGGTCAAGGTTTTCAATTATGCTTATCGGTGTTTTGTGGGAATAAGCACTGCGCTAACAGTCTTAAATGAATAGAAATGTGTCCTAAATGAACAGATATACCGGTAGGTGATGGCCTTGATTCATAGCAGTCTGTTGTGCAGTTTGATAAGTAATGGATAGTACCATTACATGTACATGTAGATGGATGGGTGTATACATCACCAACCTAATACATACTAATAACAATGTTATTAACCCTAACCCCTTAGAGTGTACATAAAATCATATTGAAATGGGAGGTTTGAGGGCTTTCAGGGTTAAAGCAGTTCTTACACAGTACACAGTATGTCAGATACGTGTACATGTACATGTATGTGTGGGTCTGATGATTATGAAGAAGGAGGTATGATCAGATATTGAGATCTGGTGTACATGTACATGCATACAAATATCGACTGCTTCAAGTGGTTTGGTAAAAATTTGCCTTGGGGGAAATCAGGAGGCTAGTTTTACACCATACCCATTCGATATTTATTCTTCATGTACAGGTATAACACCTCTTCCATGGATTCTCTTTTGTTTTTATTTTTAAGCGGTAACTGATTATTTTGATCAAATATTATTTTGAAGAAATTTGTTGAAAATGTATCAGTGCGGTACTTTTCCAAACTGCATGTACATGTGTGCCTCTTCACAAAATGTTTGAACCGAACACTATAGCGATACGTGTATCTCTTTGGAATGTGCACAAGGCGCACAGAGGTATAGTTCTTTGGTTACTATGGGTATAGTACTCTGGTTGCTATGGGTATAGTTGTTTTGGCTTTGCACAAAACGGTAGCCAAAAGAGCGAATGCCACGTGACTATGGTAGCTCTAGGCCAATTAAGATAGAGAATCTGTGGGTGAGGTGTTACAAATATACCGGTACACGGACACACATGTACATGCAGTGGTGGTTGTACGTGTACTGTATGTGCCTCATCAAAACACTTCCGATACAGTAGGTCCTTCGTGCCTTCAGGTGTACTGCAGCTTCAATTAAAAAGTGGGAGGGGTGTTCCTTTAATTGATTTCATGAGGCCATTGATATTTTCAGGACCCTTTTCTTATGAATTGTTCACAAAATATCAGCAATCTTTTCTTTATAGTTAGTACAAGTCCACAGATTTGTACGAATTCTCAGGAAAAATAAAGCACGCACCAATATGCAGATGTGTCTCTTGTCAGATGTACACATATTTTGTGACCAGTCACATCAGAATCATGATCATAATTTGTCTTCGACGAAGAGCGAATGAGAAAAAATCAAACTTGTGTGCTCATCACTGCTTGAAACAAGCCTCCATAGTACAATTTTTCACATTTAAAACAAGAGAAAATTTTCCCTTCCTTTTCATGAATTTTGCATTCAAAAAATTATATTCAAATATTCGACAGTCGATCGAATATTTAGTTATTCGGATATTTGGCACAGTCCTAGTATGCACCATACATGTTTGCATCATGTACCATGTTGCCAAACCTGCTGTTGTACAAAGGTACCGGTACTGTGCAATGTTCATGTATGCAGACCATCTACATGTGTAGGGTCTGCTGTTTATGCACGACCGTTGCTACAGTACGTGACTTTGTTTTCAAACAAAATTCAAGTGGAGTCTATAAGAAGCGTTAGAATACATACCGTACATGTACAGTGTATGTAAATAATTCATTTCGAAAATGGCAAGATTTTGTCGTGAATTACATGCAACTCCGTCCATTGACATGTACATAGGGTACATGTACATGTATGCTCCTGTACATGATACCGGTACATGTATGTACATGTACTAACACCAAAACGTGTCACAGTACATGTGTGTACTTGTTAATATATAGAGTAACAAATGTGCATGCCTGACGGGTTTACCTTTATCTTTCCAAACTTGCATATTCACAAACTGAATCCTCCCTGATTGACTCTCAATCCATCCAATCTCCCAGTCGTAAAAGTGCAATTTCAACCAGTTAACAATTTGCAAACAGTGTGGATGGTTTGTTAGGAATCAGTTTCCCTCACATATGGCCCTCCGGGCGTGAGCTGTTTGTTGATATAAGATGGCCGGTGTCCTAATAACAGGATGGTGTTCTGGGATCTGCCAGTCCCCTCCCCCCTTCAGTGATATTTTCGTTTTTCTTTGGCCGAGGGGGGAAACCACTCTGCTTTGCAAATGCAGTGGTGGGCAAACCAGGTGATGTTTTGGCACAGAACTCGGACCAAAAACCTGCATAAATTGGACGTACATATTTTTATTAAAGGTATCTGATATTATGGTGTATGTACAGCGTACATGTACATGTTCAAATACATTTTGTTACACAGGTGGTCAAACAGAAATTAAGTGTAATTGCCTAATGTGCTTTGCTCTTCATCCATCCATCATGTTACAGGTGGTACATGTACCAAGCAGATCTGGGGTGGGGGGGTTTGGCGCAGTAAATTCAAAACATTTGTAAAGTGCTAAATGATACTTCAAATGTGTATTTTCCACAAAGTGATGTATCTTATTTCTTCTTGTTTGCAGAATAAAGTTGTTGACATAGACGGGTCAAAGGTTAAATTACAGGTGAGTTTACTTGTCGTTTTGATGATGAAACACTACATGTGTTTGGTTTCATTTTTTAATGCAAAATGGAGTGTTTGGATTGAATTTGAGATGTTCCATTAGGTACATGTACACGTACATGTATACCAGTATGCAGGAATTCAATGTACATGTACATACATGTACATGTATGTAGGCATACATGTACATGTACTAACATTCTATCCACTCCGAGTGCAACAAAAGAGGGCGTGTTTTTATTTGTACTCACCACCTAAGCGTGCATTTATAATGGAGACCAATGGCACGTTTGACGCTGAGTACGCGTAACGAATTTATTTCTTAATGTATAATCTCAGTATACAAGAAGAGCACGTGCAGGAACCTGCTTGGAAAACTTACTACCATCTGTCTTTCTTTTGCCGCTTGGGGGGTGTATTTCAACCCGGAGCGGATACATGTACTTGTACCTATTTACAAGTTCACCTGCTGTTTGAAGTCCCAATTGTTTTGGTTAGAATTCCTGCATAAAATGGTATGTGAAGAAATGTTTTCATGTCGAATAAACAGTGTATTTTGTTACAGAATCACAGACTTTGAGTATCATTCTGTCACCACTTTACAACAGTTTATATACAGGAGATGTAAATGACAGACTACTACTGATGATTGCAAGTAATTGTTGCTGTTTTACAGTTTGAAATCTCTAAAAGCCGGTTCATACTCGCTGCATGTTCACTGTGTATGCAGCGCGAAGGTCTACTTTGAGGTGTCTGCAGTGTGTGAAGGAAAGTACAGTGCGTAATGAAAATTTGCACCCATGTACACAGTTTGTGAAAATAACGGATAGTGCGTAAGCACCAAATGTATGCAAATTCGGACACCGTACATACAGGTCTTAAGTCAGGTCTCAGTGTCCAGGCTGGTCTGCAGATCTATTCTTTGAGGTCTCGGCAATATCAAGGTTTTAAAGTTTACAATTCTGTCTCCATCTCAGAGCAAAGGTCTGGGAAACTTGCTGTGTCTCAACCGTCGAGACCTTTTATACAGTGTGCATTTACATGTACATATGTATACACATATTCAACCGAGAAAAAATGAAAATCATAGCCCTACTAAATACGCACATGTACGGTACCTTTGCTTGTACATGTACCTTACCAAGAGTTGAGAGCAAACCTTCAGTAAGTCAGCCATTTACCCCTACAGCTTCAGTTTAGAGAATGAAAGCTCTACTCCAGTTCTGTCGGAATAATCTGGTACCCCCCAGACCAGTACATGTATACTCCCGCATCATAGTTGCAGGAACATACATTGTACACTCGATATTTCACCTATTTTGTGGGGACCGAAAATGTTGTGGGGACTCAGAAACGGTTCAAATTTCCCTAACAAAAGAACTTGTCCCCTGAACGTGGTGAATGCCTACCCATACATACATGTACCAGTACTAGCGGTGTGCCGTAGTCTCTAGTCTTCCAGTTTTTCTGTATTTTATTTACAGCAGTTACAACATGTGCATTGAAATCCACCACAGTAAATTGGTTTGCGACTTCTCTCCAGCCTTATCAATGTTGAAGAAATTAACCTTGGAGAGGAAACAATGGGCATTTGAACTTGCCTAAAAATAAGTCCACTGTACTGAAAATTTACCACAATGGAATGTGAATTTTCCAGCATTTACATTCAGATGTACATGTACCTGCTAAACAAATCAGCCTCCAAAAGGTCGCTCCCTGGCGTCACGAATCAATAGCATGAAGTATACGTACGCACATACACTGTACATGTATGCATGTTCATGAACACCGCACATTCATGTATGAATAATAAGGATCTGTTAAAATGAGACGGCGCACTCAAATTAAGAAGACGTAGAGGTTCCTATTCTTGCACTGCTACAGATGACAGGCCATGCATGTTACATACATCCATGCAGACACTGTGATACACATCAGTAATAGTATGATCTTGACCAGTACACGAGCAACACCGGTGCGTGTACAGACTACTTGCATAATGTACATGTAATTACTTTTCAATGGACACAGCAAAGTGGATTTGAAATTAGGAAAAGCACATAATAGGCTAGACGGTGCACCATCAGACTTCAAAGTCATCAATAACTCGGTGTTGTCAGAAACACAATGCACAATTGTAAGCTGCATGTGTGCCATGGTGGGGGGATACTGTACATCACAGTATTTGGCAAAGATTCTGCGCTGCGCTACATAAATTGAAATCACTGTCCAGATGTGCAAGTGTACATATTCATACATGTACACTGTAAGGAGTACAGTGTACATAATTATGTATGACAGATGTGTGCAAACACGTACGATACACACCTGTGTATATCACCAAAGTTAGACGAAACAGCACGACAACAAAATTTGGAGAGAGAAAAGCTTGTGATGGTATCGAACCGTGTAAGAGTGATTAACAGATACATGTACTTTAATGAAGCATGCAATGGCCTTGTGCAGCGATATGAGTAAATTTACGCAACTGTCTATTAAACTTTTAGTCCAAGCATGCTGAAGTACAGTGCATACCCGGTCACAATACATCCACAGTATGAATGGTTGAACATTGAAGTTCAAGTAAGATGTGCACATAAGGGTGCTCATGTATGTACATGTAGATGACACTTCAGAGAGTAATCAGTCTTTCTGTATTTAAACTTACTGCAGACTTAACGACTATATAAGCTTACCTAATGACCTGAAAAGGTTGTGCTAATGAATCCAGAAAGTCATTTTATTATGTGGCTTCATGTATACCTTACACATACATGTACCCCCCCTCATATCGATCACATGTCAACTATGTTACAGAGGTACCATACAGGTATTTCTGGCCCAACTGAACCCACAAGGTGTTATGTGTTTTGCCTCTCCTCTGCGAGGCTGTTATTGCATGGAAGTTATTCGTTTGTCATTGTGTGAACTAAACATGTACTGCACATTTACATGTACATGTACATTGTAAGTACATGTACTTACATGTACATGTACATGTTCTTAGTTATCACTGGAAATGCATGCACATCCATGTATCACGCTGTACATTTACAGTGTACAGCTCTTAGCAACGGACAATTCAAGGGTAACCCGGTGTCATAATTTTGGCAATTGAAATTTAATGTAACCGCAAATCAAATGCGAGTTTAGGGAATGGAATTTGATTTCTATCAGGCATACTGGGGCCAGTATCTTGAATCAGACAATAAGCTGTGGGCTATCCATGTTATTAAATTGGTTTCATACCAGTATGTCAAATCTGATTATCAGTGTTTGCTGACTTGTTATAGTGTTTCACTTGCTTTCACTCTGACATTCAGGTTGTGGTTTCTAATAAATATCATGTACATGTAGACGGTCTTCATGTATTAAGGTGATATGTGTATGAAAACATTTTTTATCAATGATTTATTTGTATGTACGTGTACATGTAAATGAAACCTTTAATATCCTGTGAATTTTTGTCAACTTAAAATTTCAAATGTGTTTGGGTGTTGAGGTTAAGAATACCAGTACGTGTATCCACATCCCACTGACCACCAAGACTTACAGAATTCAGCACATTCGTCAAACTCTCGAGATCCGTGCATGCCAGTTTTTACTGAAATACTTGTAATGAACTCTTTTTCCAAACACTTCTGTTTGAATGAGTGACTTTTATGTAAGTAGATACATTGTACATGTACATTGCAGTATCTGTAGATCTACACGTGTATACGCACGATGCATGTGTGGAGTTCAGAGGAAAAAAAAGTTTCATGTACATGTATGGTGTTTTAAATTTCTTCTCGAGGCATCTGGACAATTTGGTCATGAAGCCCATCTCTCATTAGCAGATAATGAGCCTTGTGATACTCATAACAAGATAGTGTGGAGCACAAACATGTTTTAAGTACACATGTAGCCTTTCCAATGAAGGCAGGCCCTACATGCCACTCCTTTGATTTATAGCGTTACTGGTATTGCCTAAGCACCGATGGGTGATTCTGCCATGGAGGTAGGGCTGCGTTGTTTTTTTGTGGGAAAACTAGACATGTGATAAATCAATACCATTACCAGAGACAAACATCGGCTAATACCGGTATGTACAGCACCAATGGCTTGGAGCTATGGTAGGCAAGCCGTTGAAGACCATAAAGGAAAGAAATGTAGCAGCTGCTTTTTAATCTGGGTTATTATCATGCTGCGTCTGACCGTCTGTCCAAATGTGGCTATTTTTATCAAAACCCAATACTGGCATGTGCTGTTCATGTATTGCAGGAAGTCAATTTAATACATGTACATGTCTACTCTACTTGTAAGTTGTATGGATAGTGCACATGTATTGGTACGTGTGTACGTATTGTACATGTAGATATTTACATGTACATGTAGCATGTGAGTGTGCAAGCACTAAGCCCTAATGTTGTGAGGTTCAGGGCCCACTGACAAGCCCACTAATATTTGGATACCAGAGGCACTGTTGTTCGATCTTAGGCAATTACTGACCACTTCAATAAAGCTTTGAGATAAAGATCATCATTATTATGGACCGTGAAATGAAACATGGGCCAAATTTTTTACCTTTTTTTTGTGTGAGAAATTCTGTGTGGGTGTGAAAGTGTAAGAATAACCTGGTAAGTGTGAGCCTCACTCAGTGTGTGACTTGGCGGCCCTACCTTACTCGTTCATTTATCTTATCAAACTATGCACACACAGGGTACACCTACGCATATGTACATGGACCGGTACATATACATGTATTTCGTCACCCGTAGTGGATAATGTATAACATAGGAACAGAAGATAACACTGTGTGGCCTGCTCAAGAGGGCCAGCGAGTGTCATGCCCAGTGTTTGTGTGCACTGACTTGTGTGCATATGACGTTAAAAACCTGGGACCATTTTTCATGGGAATGGGTACAAATTTGTAGCCTCGTTGCAGTGGCACCAGGTGTATGGGGATGATGGAAGTTCAGTTGTCTGTTGTGTCGCTCTCTTTCTCACTGTTGATGAGGA